TTGACTGTCAGTACAGACCCCACTTGTTACTCACAGGCCGTGGGCCACCCTCACTGGCGTGAGGCATTGGATCAGGAGTTTAATGCTCTACTCCATAATCACACTTGGCGTTTGGTTCCACTTGAACCACATATGAATATTATTGGCTGCAAATGGGTGTTTCGCACCAAACGCACTGCCGATGGGTCGGTTGAACGTTATAAAGCACGCCTGGTTGCAAAAGGGTTTAACCAAGTTGCAGGAGAGGACTTCTTTGATACTTTCAGTCCTGTGGTTAAACCTACCACAGTTCGCATGTTATTTTCCTTGGCTATATCCAAGGGTTGGAATCTTCGTCAACTAGATGTCCACAATGCCTTCTTAAATGGGCATCTTACTGAAACTGTTTACATGAAACAGCTTCCGGGTTATGAGGACCCCATGACCCCGGGACATGTCTGTCACCTGCAACGATCCCTATACGGGTTGAAGCAAGCACCCAGAGCTTGGTTCAAGCGTCTTCATGATTTTCTGTTGTCTACAGGTTTTCAGGCATCTAAGACCGATGTCTCTTTATTTTATTTCACTAAAGGTGATTCCCGTGTCTATTTATTGGTCTACGTCGACGACATCATTATGACAAATGATGCCACCCTCGTGGATACTTTACTGCACCGTTTATCCTCAACCTTCAAAATTCGTGATCTGGGAGCGCGGGGATTCGCTTTGGGAATCGAAACAGTTGTGGTTAGCGATGGTTTACTTCTTTCACAGCGTCATTACATGACGGATCTACTTGGCCGCTCGGGCATGGTTGATTGTAAGCCTCTCGCTACTCCAGCTGCTGTGGCTAAGTCCGAAACCCCGTCTGATGAACCTTACGATAATCCGACACAGTATCAGCGCATTGTCGGGGCTTTGCAATAACTAACTATCACCCGGCCAGACCTATCTTATGCGGTTAATCGCCTTTGCCAGTTTATGCATTCACCGACTGTTGACCACTGGAATCTCGTGAAACGTGTTCTTCGCTACATCAAAGGAATTCTTGATTATGGGCTACGTCTTACTCCATCCTCCTCGACCACGATTCATGCTTATTCAGACTCCGACTGGGCAGGTTGTCGTATCGACAGGAAAAGTACTAGTGGCTATGCAGTCTACCTTGGTGATAATCTCATTTCGTGGCTATCCAAGAAGCAACGCACCGTGGCCCGCTCCTCTACTGAGGCTGATTATAAGGCGTTGGCTGATGTGTCTGCTGAGGTCACCTGGGTCATCTCTTTACTACGGGAACTTGGCCTGCACTCTGGTCAACCAGCGACACTCTGGTGTGACAACCTAGGTGCAACATATCTGTGTGTGAATCCGGTTTTCCATGCTCGCACCAAGCACGTCGAGGTTGATTATCATTTCGTCCACGACAAGGTAGCCACAGGGGACTTCGTGGTGAACTACGTGTCCACTACTGACCAGCCTGCCGACATCTTCACGAAGCCGCTTCCGTCACCGCGTTTTCTACTCTACGAGGCAAGCTCAATGTAGCTCCCTGCCACCTTGTGCTTGAGGGGGTGTATTAGACCATTTATTATTTCACATTATTATTGTATATAGTATAGTCTTAGATTATGTGTCAGCTATTAGATAGTCAAGGCTAGTTCTATTTGTCAGGGTTAGTTAGAGTTCTACATGTAATATAGTTTGTAATCTCTATCGATTCTGTTACTGAATGAAAGACATTCTCCAATCCATAATACCACGAGCCACCTGGACCCCAAGATTGTGTTCAAAACGACGAGCTATTGTAAAGGCCTTTTTGCATCCATCAGTAAAAGAATCTAGATCAGCTATAGTGAATTCTTGATGTACGGATTGCACACCCGATTGAAAAGTCAATTTGGTCTTTTCTTTTAACTGTGAATTATAATACAAGTAAGAATTATTATTTTAAAAAGTAAATTACTTACTATTTTAAAATAGAAATATTTTCAGTGTACATACCGCATCAACTTCAGTACATAACTCTACCAGCTTCTTTGGCCAAATAATAAAGTGTTGAATTGCATCACCTACAAGCTGAACCTCACTGGTGGGAATTGGTACATGTGCACTTGGATCACTAACTTCATTTACGCGCACCTTCACATGATTCACATCCAGTACAACCCCATGAACCTGTCCACCACTGTAAGCTATCACATATGCCACTGGACGTCTAATTGGATCTTCTTAGAACAATTGACATCGTGTCCCTAACTGCATTAATTTTTAATTAAGATTCATATAAAATTTTATTGACAAATAATAATAAGATTAACTATAAACGAATACTTGCAGCCGGTAAATTACTAAAAGGGTCCGGGGAACTAGCTTTGTCACTTCGAGATGGTGGCTCAGCATCCACACATACGTCATTCCCCTGCTTTCTGGACCTGTATGCGATTGTACAAACTCATCACATGTCTCTTGTTCAAGGAATTCGTATTTTTAACAAGGGTTCATACCCGCAAAAGCACCGTATATATACTTGCTCACCAATGTTGTTTTAAAATCTTTCCACCTGTCACCGACATAGCTTATCCAATGTCTATTCATATCAATTGTGTTAGGAATATCATAAGTATTCTACAAAACAAGATTATTTATTAGTAAGAAATGCAATTACATTAACTTTTTGAATAAATCTAAATCTTAAAAAATTAAAAGTTACCAGGATTTGTTTCCAAATAGTAGCCTTAATCTTTTCTGGGACATTCGACCATTCATCTATTGTGATAGGAGTATTGATTCGTCCCACTAATGCAACATAACTTTTAAATGCACTGCCAGCTGGCCCGTAGACAGGCTCCAATCCATCAAGCTGAATTTGGTGTTTCCCCGAAGTAGAACGCTGCAGAATGATTTTTTGCATACGAGTGACACCCCTCGTCTTAGAAGTAGTATTACTACTTATAGTAGTATTTGTATCTTGTGTAGTACTATCTTGTATAGTACCATCACCATTTTCTGAATCCATACGTCTATTTAGAAACAAAAATTACTAGAATATATACAAGTATTAGAATAAGAAAACTAAAAAATAGAATAAATACTTAATTAAAGCATTACATGTAATAATCAATTCTCCCATATCCCTTCATGATGATCATCTCATGATGCATGCACTTCATCTATCTCATTATCAATAATAGCAGACAATAAACTTGAAGAAAATGGTGGTATTTCCTCAATATCAAAACTAACATAATCATTCTCATCTCCAATAATTTGTCTCTTTCCATGAAGAACAATTGACCTTTTTTGTCACAAGGATCACTAATATAAAAGACTTGTTTTGCTTGGGATGCCATTATGAACTGCTCATTTTTGTGCCCTTCACGATTAAAATCTACAAGTGTAAATCCTAACTCATCAACTTTTACACCATGTTTATTATCTACCCATCTACATCGGAACACCGGCACCCTAAACAAAACATAATCAACTACCCATATTTCTTCAATCACACCATAATATGACAACTCTGTAAACACAAGATTTGTATCTTTCAAACTACTGAAATGCATTGAATTTGCAACCAAAGTAACTCCACTGTTTTGCATATTGCTCTTTTCCTCTTGAGCTTTTGTATAAAAGAAAACCCATTAATGTCATATCCATTATGACATATGACATCTAAACCAGGACCATGTGCTAACTATGAAACAATTTCAGAAATATTATTCTCTTCAAGAACTTTATTTTTGAACCAACGAATAAAAGTTCGATTATGTTCGCCCACAATCCATACATGTCTGTCCTTCTGGGATTTTGCTCCCTAATTAATGCCTTGTGTTCATCTAAATACGGTTCGACTTCACTTGTATTATGCAAGATGTACAAGTGTGCCTGCTCAACATCTTCACGAGGCATAGTATTCACTTTGACTCCTCGAGTACCCTTCCCGACAATTCTTCCATCATGTCGATTCTTTGAAACACCAATAGTCTCTACCCTTGCCAAATATTCAGTACAAAACTCAGTAACCTCCTCAGCAACATAACTTTCAACTATAGATGATTCCGGCCTATATCGGTTCCTAACATAACCTTTTAATACTTTCATGTACCGTTCAAATGGGTACATCCACCTCAAAGCATACTTTGCACCATGTCAATAAGCGTGCGGTTTCTTCTTGCAGCAACACCATTTTGGTCTAGAGAACCAAGCATGGTGTATTGGGCAACAATCCCATGTTCTTGAAGAAACTTAGCAAACGGACCAGGTGCTTTTCCACTTTCAGTGTACCTATCATAGTATTCACCACCTCTGTCGGATCTTACAATCTGTATTTGTTTCCCACATTGGTTCTCAACTTCAGCCTTAAAAGACTTGAAGGCATCCAATGCTTCATTTTTATTGTAAATCAAATACACATAGGTAAATCGCGAGTAGTCATCAATGAAGGTAATGAAATACTTTTGACCTGGCATATCCATATCTGGACAGCAAATGTCAGTATGTATGATTTCCAATATGCTTGAACTCCTTTTGGCACCTTTCTTAGACTTGTTCGTCTGCTTTCCCTTAATGCAGTCTATACAAGTCTCGAAATCAGTATAATCAAGAGTACTAAGTACCCCATCATTTACTAATCTCTTTATACGTTCAAGGGAGATATGACCTAATCTTCGATGCCATAACACGGAGGAGTTCTCACCAACACTCGATCTTTTGGAACCGGAGTGAATATGCATTGAGCTATAAGTGGCATTGTTTGTAAATTTAAATGATAACGACCATCAGACAATGTACCATATCCAACACAAGTTGATTTATCAAAAATATTCAAACACTTGTCTTGGAAATCAAAAGAGAAACCCAACAGCACAAGTCTAGAGATAGAAATCAAATTTTGGGAGAAACTTGGTACATAAAATGTCTTATTTAAAATCAAAACAAAGCCACTACTTAAAATAAGCTTACATGTTCCAATGGCTTCCACTTGTGACCCCATCTTCTTTCCTGATAAGATGGTTCGTTCACTTCCCACCGGCTTCCTTAGATCCTGCATTCCCTGTAAAGAGTTTGCAATGTGGATTGTTGAACCAAAATCAATCCACCAAGTATTAGTGTTAACTTCAGACATATTGGATTCATAACAAACGAATGAGGATAGAATACCTTTCTTCTCGATCCACTTTTCATACTTGATGCAATCTTTCTTCATGTGCCCCTTCTTTTTACAGAAGAAACACTTATGCACCTTCTTTATGTCAGCTTGAGGTGAAAGTTTTCCTTTCCCTTTAGCCTTAGAAGTGGAGCCTTAAGATTTTCCAGATTTAGACTTCTCGTGTGTCGTAGCCAACATAGCACTTTCTCCCATTTCCATCACCAACCTTCCTTCTTCTTGAACACACATGGTCATTAAATCATTTATGGACCATTTTTCCTTATGTGTGTTATAAGAAATTTTAAAAGGTCTATACGGTGATGGTAGGGTGTACAAAGCATAGTACACAACATAGCCATCCGACATATCTACCCCAAGAGTCTTAAGTTGAGCCATAATGTCCCGCAATTCCATGATGTGCTTACGCACACCTTTGACAAAAGTGAGACGGAGAGAGGGGAATCTCATGATGAGGGTGCTTGCTAAAGCCTTTTTTGAAGTGACGAACTGGTCATCAATAGCCTTGAGCAATGCTTGGACATCCTTATGCTTTTCACTAACGGAACCCTGAATCCCATCAGATATTTTTGCATTGATGTACATTGTACTGAGTCGATTGGACTTATTCCATCGCTCATATAGTGCAATGTCATCTTGGGTACTGTCTTTAGTGGGGATCGGTGGTTCTTCATTATGGATAGCAAAGTCCAAGTCCTTCCACCCTAAATTGAGAAGAACCCTTTCTTTCCAAATTTTGTAGTTGTAACCCCTAAGTTCGGGAACTTCTATGTTCAAATCTGTATGAGAAACGGATTGAGATGCTGTAAAGGTAAAAGGTTTGGATTAGAATTTTGAGGCATAGAAAGAACTGAATCGCATACATTACCAATGTAAATGATGCATGTCAAAGATCCGAATGCCATAAAAATTGCATGTGGGCTAAATTTTTACGCAAAATGGACCTTAGAAAATTTTAGAATAGAAATGGGATGGGAACAAGGTTGAATTTCTATTCTCAACGATAAAACTACCAAAGACTATATGCTGATACATAATTGCCTGTGGGATAAATTATGATCATAGTTTGGTATTTTTATCTTGATTAACGATACAAATATAACAAAATTGCATGTGGGCTAAATTTCATTATATTACATATAATTAATCAAAATTGCATGTGGGCGGCCTCTAAGAGAAGGAGGGGGGATGGGGTGGATGGTGGCAGTATAAGGATGGATGCAGGGGATTTGGTGATGTCTGAGTTCTCAAAAAACGGATTTACGGCGGGTCCTGGTGGTCAGGCCCGCCCATCTTAATGAGTACAATAAGCTGGAACTGTCGTGGCTTGGGCAATCCACAGACAGTTCGTGAAGTGGTGGACATGGTGTCCCGTAAGAAGCCCGATTTCGTCTACTTAATGGAAACTAAAGTAGATCGGAATCATGCAGAAAAATTACGTATTAAGATTGGTTTTGAGGGTCTGTTTTATGTGGATCCAGATAGGAGAGGGGGTGACTTAGCATTATTATGGAAAAAGAATAATACTGGTAGGCTGTTGAGTTATTCAAAAAATTATGTGGATGTGGAGGTAACTATAAGGGAGAAAGTATGGCGTATAACATGTTTCTATGGGTTCCCACAGAGGCATAGACGCAGGGAGGCATGGCAATTGTTGAGTGGTTTAAAGGACAAGTCTACACTACCTTGAGTGGCTTTGGGAGACTTTAATGATTTGTTATACCAGCACGAGAAGAGAGGGGGAATCCCCAACCGGATAGTCTACTGAGAGGCTTTGGAGATACTGTACACAATTGTTGACTTGTCCAATTGCCAATGCGAGGTCACCAGTTTACATGGGAGAAGGGGAAAGGGACTGATAGGTGGTTGGAGGAAAGGCTGGATAAGGTGTTGGTTTCTACACGATGGACTACTTTGCATAGTGAGGCGTGGGTTGAAAATATTCTAACCCGAAAATCTGATCACTCTGCTCTCTTCCTAAACACTGATATTATACGGGGCCACAGATATGGGGGACCGAAACGATTTCTCTTTGAGATGGTATGGGTTCATGATGATGGTTGTCGGGGGGTAGTGGAGACTGCCTGGCAGGATAGTAGGGATAAGGGGCTATTGATTTGTCAGCAGCATTGTGGAGGAAGGCTAATGCGGTGGGGTGGGGAGCATTGGCATAAATTTGGTGACCGTATAAAGCAATTGAGAAAAGAACAGGATGAGCTGCGTCACAGACGGGATTCGGCTGCATTGGCCGAATTTCGCGATCTTGAGGAAAGACTGGGACAATTGGAGATGCAGGAGGATATTTTTTGGAGACAACGGGCAAAACAGCACTGGCTGCGTGGTGCGGATTGCAATACTAAATTCTATCATAGGTACGCTTCTGCTCGTAGAAGGAAAAATTATATTCCTAGATTAAAAAATGATGTGGGTGCATGGGTGGATGGGGAAAATATGAGGAAAGTTGTTTTGGAGTATTATGCTGCTATTTTTACATCATCAAACACTGAATGTGAGGATCCCATGCTTGATAATTTTACCCCCCGTGTGACTAGTGAGCAGAACACTATGCTCCTTCGCCAGTTTGAAATAGAGGAGGTCAGGAGTGCTTTATTTGCAATGTTTCCTGATAAAGCACCAGGACCCGATGGTATGAACCCTGGGTTCTACCAGGAATATTGGGATATTGTATGGGGAGATGTGTCTGAATTTATTGTGAATTGCTTAAACTCGGGCTCACTTCCTGAGGGATTAAATGATACTAATGTGGTTTTAATTCCGAAGAAAAATGTGCCTGAAACGGTAGCTGATATGAGACCAATAGCACTGAGTAATGTTCTGTACAAAATCATGGCAAAGGTAATAGCCAATAGGATGAAACCACTTATGGGGAACCTCATCTCAGAGGCCCAGAGTGCTTTTATTCCTGGGAGACTTATTACTGATAATATTTTAATAGCTGCAGAGGTGGGGCATTATTTAAATAGAAAGCAGTGTGGTAGGAAGGGGTGGGTGGCATTGAAGTTGGATATGGCCAAAGCATATGATAGGATGGAATGACAATTTCTGAGAAGGATGTTGGAGGTAATGGGTTTTGATGACCAGTGGATTAATTTGTTGATGCAGTGTGTTACTACTGTCCAATATAACATCCTGATTAATGGTGTTAATAGTAGGGGTGTAACGCCAATTAGGGGACTACGACAGGGAGATCCTTTATCTCCATATTTATTTCTCATATGTGCTGAAGGGTTATCTATGTTATTACAAAGAGCGCAAATGGCTGGCTTAATACATGGTTGCAGAGTTGCTAGGGGAACCCCACATATATCACATCTATTTTTTGCAAATGATAGCCTATTATTTTTTAAAGGCAGATGATAGAGAGACAGAAGTAATTAAACAGTGTCTAGGACGATATGAGGAGCTATCAGGACAGAAGGTAAACTATCACAAGTCCAGTGTCCGTTTTAGCAGAAATACCAGTGTGGAGGACATGGAAGTGGTGGGAAATTGCTTACAGGTAGACCAGGCACCCAACTTTGGGATATATCTGGGATTACCATCTTTTGTGGGGAGAAATAAAAGGGCAGTGTTCTCATATATTGAGGATAAGATAAAACAGAGAATTAGCTCATGGAACAAGAAGTTTCTGACACAAGCAGGGAAGGAAATTCTATTGAAAAGCGTGACACAATCTATGCCTACCTTTTCAATGAGTGTCTTCTTGATTCCAGACACGGTGTGTTTATCAATTCAGAGAACAATGAACAAGTATTGGTGAGGCACTGGTATGGATAGGGGAATACACTGGAAAGCTTGGGATAAGCTGAGTATCCCAAAGAAATATGGAGGAATGGGATTTAAAGATCTCAAGAATTTTAATTTAGCAATGTTGGGAAAGCAGGCATGGCGCTTACTCACAAGTCTAGACACACTTGTTGCAAAAGTCTATAAGGCAAGGTACTATCTGAATACCACTTTTATTGATGCCAAGATAGGAGGATGCCCAAGCCACTCATGGAGAAGTATTATGGCAGCTCATGATATGGTGGTGGCACGGGTGCGCAGGAGGATAGGGGCTGGTAAAACGACACTAATCTGGGGACACCATGGTTACCTGATAATCCTAGCCCTCTGGTACAGACTGATATGCTTGTAGAGCTCAGGCATACTAAAGTGGTAGGTTTAATAGATGAACAAACTGCTACCTGGGACCCACATATTTTAGCAGATTTATTTGATGAGGAGGATGTGAGTAGGATACTGAGGATACCTGTCAGTCCAGGATATGAGGACTCATGATATTGGCCCGATGACCCCAACGGGGTATATACGGTTAAGAATGCCTACAGAAACATTATGGGTGTTTATGATCACTCACCTGGGGATTTTGAGAAATGGACTAAAATGTGGGGAATGAAGATACCCCCAAAATGGAAGACTTTTTTATGGAGAGCAATTTGTGATGTTCTTCCAACAACTAACAACTTGATTATAAAGAGGGTGGAAGTGGATCCCACATGCCAAATGTGTGGGCTGGCACATGAGAATGTTATGCATACATTCATCAATTGTGATTACTCTAAACATGTTTGGAATATTTCAGGATTGCCAATAACAAATATTGTTGTCAGCTCATTCCCGAGTGGCTAACGATTGTGCTTACAATGTTCACAGAGGATCAAAGTGCGGCCGTAGTAGCATTGCTTTATTGCATATGGAGGTGCAGAAATTCAGCCGTATGGGACGGCACATTGCTGCACCCTACGGCGGCTTGGAGGCAGGCCACGGCGGCACTACACTCCTACCAGCAAGTAGCGCGCCGCGGCTTGTCAGCTCCCACGGCAGCTACAGCGGACAACAACGGCGGCACTATCCCACGATGCTATGTGGATGCGGGATACCGAGAAGACACGGGGGAGGCTGCATACGGTATTGTGTTGCTGTCTCCAGAAGGATCTTTCTTAGCGGCAAAAAATGGAAGACTACCGAATTGCTTGTCGCCGTTTATGGCAGAGACTTTGGCATGTAAGGAAGCTCTATCCTGGCTATTGGAAAAGAATATAACAACAGTATCCCTTCAAACAGACTGTTTACAGCTCAGGAATGCTATACGACAGAAATCAACTATCATAATGTCCTATGTTGGAGTAATAGTAGACCAATGTAGGAATTTAATTTCATCTTTTAGTTATGTCTTGTTAAATCATATTTCTAGGCAGATTAATGCGCGTGCGCATACGTTAGCTTCGTTAGCTTTTATTCAGGATCAAGCTGTGTATTGGGATTATATCCCCCTCTGGCTGCATTGCAGCTTTGATTCATTAATACAATCATTCATTGGTTGGTTTTCAAAAAATAAAATCACAATTTATGCCTAAACTTTATGTGATTTGAAAAAGCTTGATATACAATTTTAATTAAATTAAGGATGCTGTGGGCCTGTGGCTACTCCTTAATTAACTAAATTTGTATTATCACATCGGCATAGATTTAACAAAACAAACTATGCACTTAACATGATAAGCAATTACCAAGTATACTCCCAGGAAAGTTGGTCGAGATGAAACTCGGTTAAATACCAACTCCTTAGACAGAGTAGGATTCCAAGGGAACTAGTAGCATATTGGCTATTCTAATTTTCTTCCCAAGAAACTTTCCCCGGTTCATGCATTCTCATATTATAGCATAACTGTTTTGAAGGGTTTACTCAAAACTTTGACGTTCACGGTTTAGAAAAAGGGCTTTTAAGGATATGTGAACTTTTGAACTTAATGTGCTAACCTTCAGGCACTACCGTAGTCGTACTAAACCTTATGTACTACTATAACCGCAATATGCTAAAGTCCAATATACTAAGGAATTCAACAAACTTCTAAAAGGCACTACCAAAGTCCAAGTACTAAGGAGTTTCATAAATTCCTAAAACATGCATTTCTTAGGCATAAAATAAATCGCATAATTAAAACAAACTAAAATTATGCTAATTGGACATAACATGCATATTACAAAACACAAACTCATATTAAACAAATAAATTGCACAAACATTATAGCAATTTAACACATGAGCATACTATAATAAAATTCAAATTTCAGGCCCAAACAATTTGAACAATTTATGTATTAAAACAATTAATAATTAATGATTTATATAAATAGGCTCAAACCAAATTGATACCCCATCAGCCCAAAACTTAATTTAAACAATTAAATAACTTAACCTAGCTTCTAATCTCCATACCCGCAGCCTAAAAAAAAAAAACTAAACAAAAAAAAAAAAACAAAATAGATCGATAGAGAGAGATCGGACGGGACACACCACCGCTCCAGCAAATCCGTCACCACCGCTCGCCACCGTCACCGATACACAGCACCGCCGTCTTCCACAGCCGCACCAACAGACCGCGGCCGACAAGTAGAGGAAGCGCGACGGAGACAGCTTCGCCGCCCACGATCTGCCAACCTTTCTGTTCGCCGAAAAAAGCAGTAATAACGCCACCGCCGAGAACCCTGCTTCGCCGGTCGTTGCCTGAAGAAGAAAGGGAAGCAACGACGTCGCTATAGACTAGCTTCGCCGCCACCGCCTGTCTTCTACCCCGGTCATCGGTAAAAATAGCGCACCGACGACCATTTGAAACCGTTACACGGTCGTCGACGAGTGGCCAGAGAACAGAAATCGGAATCGAAGAAGCCACAACAGCAGGTTGGTTCAAAATATTTTTTTGAAAGCCAACAAACTTATATTGCATTAGCCATTCCAGGCTCAAGAAAAGAAGGAGGAATATCCCTCCAAAGAGAACGTGCCAAAGAGGCAGTTACATATATATATATATATATATATATATATATATATATATATATATATCTAAAAGCACACCAAAACTGATAAATGTTTAAAAACCAAACCTAGCTAAAAGTTCACAAATCCTTCACTTTCTCAACTTTAACAACAAACTTCTTAAGACTTTTTTCTGTGTGAATGAAAATCACTGTCATACCACATCTTCATTTTCCTACAAAAATTTCTAAATAAAAAGATAAACAATAAATAAAATTAATAAAATTTGAAATTAAATAAGGGCAATACTACCAAACTCATCATCCCTAATATAACTTAATTAGATCATGTTAATATTGAATATTTACAAAGGCATTAAATAGAAATTAAATTGTTCTGCATTTAGTATTGAGTGATAGTACTATTTGTACGAACTAAATATTTATTAAAAAATATACATTGATTTGTAATAAGACTACATAAGACTGATTTTACTATATAGGATGGTATCTCTAAGTGAAGAAACAAAAGGAATTCTACAAATTACTTCTCAAAACAAAAAGGAAATTTACAATTTACATAAATCATAATCTGTTTCATGCTCAATAACCTAACATTATTAATACACTACACAATAAATTTTGGAACCAAAAAACTCGCGTAGTTTACTACTGCTGCTTTGTACTTTGTAGAATGGCCTTATAACTGAAAACATACTTAGTTCCTGCATCAACATAATAGAGAGAATAATAACACACTCCTGCTTCTTTTGCCATGAAAAACACACTCCTTACACTTTATGCTTTCACTGCCCTTCCTATCATGTATATATATATCATACTTACACACACTTACCTTGATAGCAGTGCTTGTTTTCATAGGAAATAAATCAGTTGCCGTAGCAAAGAGAGGTGCCATGGAGGTCGAAGATTATATTTGCAATCTGAAACACTGTTGCGTTGTTTTTGAAACTGTAAGGTGAGAATGTATTTTTATAGCTGTGTTTGGAGACATTGAAGAGATATGTGATTTAATGCTATTTTTTTTGGATAACAAAGTGACACAATTCTAAACTGTGTGAACAAATTAATTAAACAATAAATCCTAATCAATAGGATAACCAAGGGTTGAAAATCAAAAAGCCAACGTCTGTTCATTTCTATTCAAATATTAAAGATTACATTAAACCACTAAAGTGATAATTCCCAAAAAATAGCTATAAATGAGAGGCCAAAATCGTTTTTACACTACTTATTACAAAACGGAGTCGTTTTATTTGAGCGGGAATTATTTACCAAATTTATTTTCCCAAGGGGTGTGACCTTTTTATATAGTAAGATAATATATATATATATATATATATATATATATATATATATATATATATATATATATATATATATATATATATATATATATATATATATATATATATATATATACACACACACACACACACAGTTATATATGCACACCTTAAATATATATATATGTATATAGAACAATATGTATCCATATATATTTACAGCATACGGCACATTGGATTTTCGATTCATATATAAAACAAAAATTCATATGAAATCAATATATTCGAATATTCAAATTGCATATATACAAGATTTATTATATTTTTAAGAATATATTATTTTCAAAATATAA